CTTGCTAAATTGCTAAGGCTGGCCTCAAACTTATAATCCTTCTGTCTCAGCCTCCCAAGTTGCTAGAATTAACAGGCGTGCAAACCCCTGCACATACCCATTTTACTTTTCTATTTATCATAAAGCAGTTTTTCCTCCCAGTATCTTATCTTAGGAAACATAATGCATTTTCATTGAAATCAAATTAGGAGTCTTTATTTTGTTGATTTTCTGTGCTGGGCATGGAAACCAGGGCCTTGCACATGCTGGGCAAGTGCTCTACAACTGAGCTACAAGCCCAGCCACAATTAGATGCTTTGTTTTGTTTTTTTACCATTAACTAGGGATTAAACCCAAGGTTACTTTAACACTGAGCTATATCCCCAGCACTTTTCATTTTATATTGTGACAGGGTCTCCCTAATTGCTGAGACTGGCCTCAAACTGGCAATCTTTCTGCTTCAGTCTCCTGGAACTAAGATAGATCTTTTTGGTTATATTTTTTGTTTAATTTTTGGTTTTCCCCTGTATTGTTAGAATATTGATCTTAATGATGAGGTTACAGATACTCTGGTGCCTGTCCTGCTTTAAAAGATGTTTGTTGGACACTTCAGCTTCTTCCTCTCTTCTTCCTTAATACCCCATAGCCTTGAGCTCCTTGCTGGCCTTTACAGGTTTGAAGAAGAGCTTTCTCTTGTTTTCTCACCTGGCCAAAACCTAATCTGATTCTTCCACACATTTGAAGGTCCTCAGGTTTTTCAGTTGGGTAATTACAGTATACTCAGGAATACTTTGTTTTATTTGGATTGTCCAAGTTAGCCCTGGGATTACTAGAATAGCAACTGCTTGCATAACCAGGTTGTAGACAGACAATCCAACTTACGTACGTTTTTCCTTTCTGTATCTGAAAACCTTGAAGTTTGCCTGATGCTTATCAAATATATATATATATAAAATTATTTTTTTAGTTGTAGATGGACACTTTATTTATGTATCTATTTTTATGTGGTGCTGTGGATTGAACCCAGTTCATCCAGGTGAATCCTTGTGGATTTTTTAGTTTTCAAGTACAGTGGCAAAATTCAAACCCATGGAAATTTTTGGTATTTGCTTTTAGGTACTAGGGACCAAACCTAGAACCTTGTGCATGCTAACACAAATTCCACCAATGAGCTACACCCCCAACCCTAGAAACTCTTAATTGTTCTCTTTGGTGACAGATTGACCAAAGTAGTCTCCAAGCAGTGTATGTATATATTTGAATGTTCCTTCTACATTTTCCTCTTTAGGCATCTCCCCTCAGATGGAGGTCACATGTGTGCCCACTCCCACAAGCACAGTGTCCTCCATAGGTAACACAAATGGAGAAGAAGTGGGTCCATCTGTCTACCTGGAAAGGCTAAAAATCCTCCGACAGCGATGTGGTCTGGACAACACAAAGGTACTGCTCCTTTCCTACTATGTGGGTCAGGGAGAACAGTTACATGGTTTGGGGATAGGCTGCCCCACAGAGAAGTGGCTCCGTCCTGGTGTATGTGGTTCCAGAGCTGCATCTTTTCCTTTGTCGTGCTTTCCCCAGTTTTAAACAGTGTCTCTTCTTCTCTCAACAGCAAGATGACAGACCTCCACTGACCTCTTTGCTTTCCAAACCAGCAATTCCTCCAGTCGCCTCTTCCACAGACATGCTCCACAGCAAGCTCTCTCAGCTGCGGGAATCACGGGAGCAGCACCAGCATTCAGACCTGGATTCTAACCAGACCCACTCTGCAGGAACTTTGACCTCCTCCTCGTCCTCCACAACTAACATTGATGACTTGAAAAAAAGACTGGAGAGAATAAAGAGCAGTCGCAAATGAAGCTGCCCATCCCCCTGCACCCTGCAGCTTTAGTTTACTAAACTAGAAGTCCTCATAGTGTGAAGTGGCCTTGGCAGGCCTAGTGTACACAAACTGGTTGTATGTATCAGACCGCAGCAGGTGGGGGGCAGGAATAGCTGTTGCACAAGTCTGTACGTGCCCCGCTTCTCTCCATCGACACCCGCCTCTAGAAGACTGTCTGTGGATTAGGTTAGTGTACAGACTTGTAAACAGCTGCCCCACTCAGCTCAGACTAGATTCCATATCCTTTTTCTTTTGTTTTATTTTTAATTGCTCATTTGTAAAATTGTCCTAATCTTTCCTAGCTTTTAACTATTAGAACTTCTTTAATAGTTTTGAGTTTGTGAGCTCTTCTCCCTGTAGCCCTGAAGGGTCACTGTATTCTGTATGAATGCATGGCATGAGACAACAACTAATTTAAGAGTCTTTTATAAATAAAGTTTGCATTAACTATACCTGTCTCCCAAGATGCTCCATATCTGGGAGTGCAGGGCAGCTCTGTCACCTTTTGGGGGTCAGCTGGGTAAATAGCCAGTTGGAAAAAGGTTCATTGCTGCCTGTTGAGCTCATACTGGGGCTGTCTGTTACTCCTGTGGGCAGGAGGACTTGCCTTTCCTTCTTTCCACATAGGGGAGCAGAGAAATCTCCATCCTTCCCTATCTTGAGGTCTTGGTGATGACTTTTCTTCAGTCATCTCCAGTAGTTCCAAGGAGCTTTTCCATCCCACCACTTTCTTTGCTGCCCAAATACAGATGAGACTGTGCTCAGGTATTGGCTGGACTATAGTGATTCCAACTCCACAACTGGATTTAGGTTCATTGGACTAATGGAGTTGGGGAGAGCTTGGTCATTTCCTGTTATCTGAGCTCTTGGTTCAGACCAACAGTTGCTTTGCAATGAGTATGAGTGAGGAATAAGATGTAAACTCAGGAGTCAAGTCTGGAATAAATTCCACAGAACCTCCCTCCATGGTGACAAAGACTTCAGGACTAAGATTCTTGATCAGGGGGAGATTTAAAGCAATTGGGAAGCTCTCCTAGCCCACCTTCTACACATCTGGTATTCAAAAACTGAAAGACTAGCCAGGTGTGGCCGCACAAGTCTATAATCCCAGCAACTCGGGAGGCTGAGATACAAGGATTGCAAGTTCAAAGCCAGCCTCAGCAACTTTGTAAGAACCTGTCTCAAAAAATTAAAAGGGTTGGAAATGTAACTGATGTAACTCAGGGGTAAAGCACCCCTGGGTTTAATTCCCAGTAGAAAAAAAAAAAAAAAAGCTGATGGAAACTGAATCCACTCTCGATTATTCTATTAAATGAATTCCCTGTTACTTCCAGTCATCATCTACAAGTGGTCCCTAGACTGCCTGAAATTAACCTTGTTTTTCTCCCTTATACAGCAAGCATTGAAGTGGGTAAGTGTTCACAGCAGGGTAAATGGAGTTCATTGCTATTGTAAAAGAGCATAATTGGAAAGTGCCTGCACTTTGGTCTGGAATTAGCACAACTAATTTGAAACCCCAGGTGCCCAGAGCTTACAACAGACAGTGATGTTGGTGAGATGTGTCTTTGTTTAAAAAAGCAGGTTTTGGGTTGCCCATGTTGGCCTCAAACTCTCAATCCCCCAACCTTAGCCTCCTGAGTAGCTAGTGCACAAGTGTGCACCACTGTGCCCAGTTTACCCTGCTTTCTGGTCAACAAGAACCAAAGAATGAGAGAAAGGAACTCTGTCCTAATTCTCTGTTCCCTTATGTATGGAAAAATGAAAAAGGATGTGGGGTTGTAGTTAAAGATACTACTTCAGAGTCTTTCTTGCTTTAAAACCATGCATGTTAGTGAAAATTCCAAGCCAAAAATGAGAACCACATGGCATCCATATTCTACTCCCCTATCCTAGACCTGAAGCAGATAGATATTAAGTTTTACTCCCTATAACTCAGGGATGTGACCTCTCAACACAGCCCTTCAGCTAATATCAATGGATGAACAATAACCTTGAAGAATGTGCTATGAAAGGGCATCTTAAGTCCTTTCACAGCTGCGCACAGTGGTGCACACCTGTAATCCCAGCGGCTCTGGAGGTTGAGGCAGGAGGATTGCAAATTCAAAGCCAGCCTCAGCAACTTAGTGAGGCTCTGAGTAATTTAGTGAAGCCCTGACTCTAAATAAAAAGTAAAAAGGGCTGGAGATGTGACTCAGTGGTTAATACCCCTAGTTTTAATCCCTGCTACCAAAAATAAATAAATAAAAATAAAAACAATAAAGTCTATCATTCGTGATTTTTAAATTTATCCAAACCTTTTACAAATCCACTTAACCCCTAGGCCCTATTTCCTGGGAAAACAAATTGGTCTAATCTGTTAACTGCTGTGTGTGAATTTCAGGAAGCAACAGTCCCCCTGATAGGCTATTTGTGGGGATCAAAGAAGGGAGGAGGTAAGCAGCAGAGAAACTTCAAACATGCCAGGCTGGATGTCTACCCCTAGTTGCCAGGCAATAGTGGGAACAGAAGTACATCCTTTAAAATTTGAGAAATTTTCTCAGAGAGATCAAGGGACTAAACCATGGTTGTACCATCCAAGGCTGGAGCCAAAATCTGACCCAGAGGTCATGCTAGGTGCACTGCTATCAAATGAAGGCATTTTAAATACCAAGTCTCTTGGCAAAAATCTGCCATTTTAATGACATGAGGAAGAATGTAGGGTCTTACTAGGATAAGTCTGAGGTAAAGACAAAGATGCATCTACGTGTGTCCCCGTCCCCCAGCCTCTCCTCTGGGGTTAGGACAAGCTCTTTAGAGCAGAGCAACCAAAAGCACAGGCCTCACCAACCTTTGTTTCAATTCCTACTTTGATTTTTCTTAGATGTGGAACTCTGGACAAGCTACTTCTCCAAATCTGTTCACTTGCCTACCTCTTGTTTGGATAGTACCCACGTTCTATGAGTATTATCAAGACAATCTGTTAAAGCTCTGGGTGTGGAATGTTGTAAAATCTTATATATTCACCCTACCACCTCCCCTCTCAGCTGGCTGTGTCCTGGAGATGGTGGATTCTTTGAAGTTTTCCTGTGTAACCAGTAGTATTACTGGTTGTTCTGAGCCAAGTCCAGGAAGCTGCCCATGAACGGCACTGGGAGCATTGAGACTCATTGACAGAGTCACTTTTATTGAGAACTATCCTTTTAGAAACAAACCAAAAAAATAATTCTTTCACTGGATTGGTTTCTGTCACTTTGCAGTGAGGAGCCCAGAATGTGAGTGGCCCCTTATCCAAACCTATCAATGACCTTCTGTATCCACTTTTTCAGACGGAACACGTGTGTGTAGAAGCCATATTTCCCATTCCGGTCACAGCCTTCACCCCATGAGACGATGCCCGTTTGATACCAGCGATTGTTAAAGGGGCTCTGAGAAAGAAAGACGAAGTTTCCAATAGTCAAATCCAAGGTAGTGTCCCTCCTCACCCAACCCTCCCGCTTCCTTTGAAATCTACCCACCAGCCCTGGCCTCAGAGAAGCTTACCTTCATGACAAAGGGTCCCCCACTGTCACCCTCACAAGCATCTCCTCGCTTCCCTTCATCTGGTTTATAACCTAGAGAGAGAACAGCAGGGCTCAGGAGCCACTCCCATTCAAGGGCTATAGCCTGTGAGGATCCCTTGTCCCCTTCCAGCACTCATCCTTGACCTCTTCAATTCCTTACCGCACACATCCAGTCCTTTAGCAAATCTCACTGGCTCTACCTTCAGCATATATCCCAAATCCAACTATGTCTCACCACTTCCACTCCTGGACCTCTCCCCTGAACCATACCAGTTTTCCCAGTTCTACTCTGCCCACCTATAATCCATTCTTCCTCTACACACACCAAACTGAGAATGATTTTTTTTTAAAGGAAGTTAGACTTATAGGTAGCTGAGGATTATAGCTGTTCCCTTTATCCAAAACTGCCCACTATCCTCAACAAACAACACAGAATGAGATGAACAACCACGACACAGCCTACACACACAAACCACACCTTCAACATAAATAGAACACTCATCCAAATTTCAAATTAATTCAGTATATTGAGTTGTATATCTAAATACTGAAAATTATGTAGGAATGAGATGGAAAATAGCTGCTTGATAGATGGAATCAAATGGGGAATTTTATAAATAACCCTTAATCTACAAATAACTGGATGAAAACTAAATAGAACCATAGAAAGAGGCTATGTGAAAACAATACAAAGACCTGACAGGCACGGTGGCGCACGCCTGTAATCCCAGCAGCTCAGGAGGCCAAGGCAAGGAGGATCAAAGCCAGCCTCAGCAATTTAGTAAGGCTTGCTAAGCAACTCAGTAAGACCCTGTCTCTAATAAAAATACAAAATAGGGCTAGGGATGTAGCTCAGTGGTTGAGTGCCCCTGAGTTAAATCCCTGGTACCTAAAAAAAAATGAATAAAAAGACCTGAGCCAACAGAATTCTCCCCAGAATACAACTCCAAAACTGTAGCTGAATAAAATATCCTCAAACTTGTGCATGTGAAAAGAATCTTGAATCAGAAATCCAAAAAATCTAAATGGACAAAACAATGAGAAGAAATAAAAAGCAGAAAGTAATTGAAATGGAACTCAAGCCAAAAGAAGGCATTTGAGTTCCTAAGGGAGAACAATAAAACAATGGAACAGAAACAGTATTTCATTAATAATCCAAGAAAATTTCACAGAAATGAAGAACAAATTGAATGTACATAGCAAAAGGATCCAATGGGTACCTGGCAAAATTGACCCAAAATAATCAACTCTGAAACATCCAAACAAAACTGCAACGCTTCAGAGATGAAGTAAAAATCCTCAAGGCCTCCAAGCAAAAAGATTGAAAATTTTACAAGGGTGAAAGAATTACACTGGCATTAGACTTTTCAAAAACAACATGCAATTGGGCTCAGTGATGCACACCTGTAATCCCAGTGACTCAGAAGGCTGAGACAGAAGGATTGTGAGCTCAAAGCCAGCCTCAGTAACTTAGCAAGGTCTTGTCTCAAAATAAAAAGGGCTGGAATAGGAATTGTAATGCATTCTACTGTAATATGTAAAAAAATTAAAATTTAAAAAATTTTAAAAACATAAGAGCTGGAGATGTGGCTCAGTGGTTAAGTACCCCTGGGTTCAATTCCCAGTACCAAAAAATTCAAAGAATATTAACTTTGGGTTTTAGTTACAATAAAGTTGTCCTTTAATGCCAGGACTATGAAAAAAAAAAAATGATTGTAAGCTTACGACTCAGGAAACTCCACACCCATAACCCTTCTTGAAGAATCTTCTGATGGCTAAGCTTCCTCCAACCAAGAGCTGAGTGGGATGGGTTGGGGCTGTAGCTTAGTGGTAGAGTGCTTGCCTTGCATTCGAGAGGACTGGGTTCGATACTCAGCACCACATAAAAAATGAATAAATAAAACAAAGATACTGTGTCCATATAAAATTAAAAAGAAAAAGATCTGAGTGGGATTCTTCAATAGGAGGATTAATTAACTGTTCTAACAAGTAGAAATAGTACAACTAAAAATATGAGAGGAAAGGAAAATAAGCTCATTGATTTCCGTACAGCCGGCAGATGGAATTTAAAGGCGTAATTGAAAATTTAAGAAAAAAAAGCCAGGCATGGTATTGTACACCTGTACTCCCAGCCTCTCAGGAGCTTCACGAGGAGGAAGCAAGAAAGGATGTCTTGAGCCCAGCCTGGATAACAGAGCAACATCCCATCCAAAAAAAAAAAAAAAAAGGTCAGACATGGTGGCATACACCTGTAATCCCAGTGACTGGGGAAGTTGAGGCAGAAGGACCCCAAGCTCAAGGCCAGCCTCAGCAACTTAGCAAGACCCTGGCTCAAAATGAAAAATAAAAAGGGCTGGGATGTAGCTCAGTAGAAGAGCACCTTCTGAGTTCAATAACCACAACCAAAAGAAAAGAAAAACAAGGAATTAGGGCAGTTTGAAGTGGGATCCCAAAGACTATCACCAGAGCAAAATGTAATTTTTTTTTTTTTTTTTTTTTTTTGTACCAGGGATTGAACTTGGAGGCACTGAGCCACATCCCCAGACCTATGTTGTATTTTATTTAGAGACAGGGTATCACTGAGTTGCTTAGCACCATTTGCTGAGGCTGGCTTTGAACTTGAGATCCTCCTGCCTCAGCCTCCAGAAACTGCTGGGATTACAGGCATGTGCCACTGCACCCAGCTTAAACTTTCCTAAATATATAAAACTTTCAAATGCAAAGCTCACACATCATGACCTGGGGTTGTGGCTCAGTGGTAGAGCACTTGCCTAGCAAGTGCGAGGCCCTGGGTTCGATCCTCAGTACTACATAAAAATAAATAAAGGTATTGTGTCCAACTACAACTAAAATATAAATATTTTTTAAAAACACATCACATGAAATATACATAATAATTCTAAAATAATGAATTAATACTAACCCTATCAATCACATCAACAAATATGAATGGGCTTAACTCATCTATTAAAGTTTTAATTTGACTCATAAAGTAAGAATCTGCTATTTATGAGACATCTAAAACAATTCATAGAGGTTAAAAGTAAAGGGTTAGCAAAGAGTTATCAAAAAAAAGCAAGTGGGCTGGGGTCGTAGCTCAGTGGTAAAGAGCTTGCCTAGCATGGGTGAGGCCTTGGGTTTGATTCTCAGCACCACAAAAAAACAAATAAAATAAAGGTTAAATTCTTTAAAAAGAAAAGCAGGAACAGTGATCCTGAAACTGAAAATAATTTATTTTTTTTTAAATATATTTTTTTGAATTTTTTAATATTTATTTACTTTTTTTAGTTTCCGGCGAACACAACATCTTTGTTTGTATGTGGTGCTGAGAATCGAACCCGGGCCACACGCATGCCAGGCAAGCACGCTACCGATTGAGCCACATCCCCAGCCCACTGAAAATAATTTAAAGAATAATGTTAAAAGCTACAATCAAAATGAATAAGTAACAGTTATATATATCTGCACCAAATCATAAAGAAACCACATTTATAAAATAAAAACTATAGCGTATGTAAAAGAGGCAGACAGAAATACATTAGTAATAGATTTTGGGGGCTGGGGTTATGGCTCAGTGGTACCGCACTCGCCTTGCATGTGAGAGACCTTGGGTTCAATCCTCAGCACCACATAAAAATAAACAAAATAAAGATATTGTGTCCATGTATAACTAAAAAAATTTTCAAAAAATTAAATAAATAAATAAATTTGGGGGGCTGGGGTTGTGGCTCAGTGGTAGAGATCACTTGCTGAGCATGTGTGAGGCACTGGGTTCAATTCTCAGCACCACATATAAATAAAAAAAAATAAAGATCCATTGACAACTAAAAAATGTATATAGGGGCTGGGGATGTGGCTCAAGTGGTAGCGCGATCGCCTGGCATGTGTGCAGCCCAGGTTCGATCCTCAGCACCACATACAAAAACAAAGATGTTGTGTCTGCCGAAAACTAAAAAATAAATATTGAAAAATTCTCTCTCTCTCTCTCTCTCTCTCTCTCTCTCTCTCAAATATAAATAAATAAATAATGTATATAAAATAATAATTATAATAATAATAATAGCAAATAAATTTTCTATGGTGCTAGGGATCAAACCCAGAGTCTTGGTTATGTTAAACTCACAGTCAACCACTGATCTACAACCCCAGCTACAATAAGGGATTTTAATACAGCAAATGGTACAAAAGAGATTGAGTGAATTTAAGTAAGGCCATAAATTACCTAATAAGAAGTAATAAGGGCTGGGGTTGTGGCTCAATGGTAAAGAGCTTGCTACCATGGGTGAGGCCCTAGGTTCGATTCTCAGTACCTCATAAAAATAAATAAATAAAATGAAGGTATTGTGTCCATTTACAACAACAACAAAAAAAGACAGTAGCTTGGGAGGCTGAGGCAGGAGGATTGTGAGTTCAAGGTTAACCTTAGCAATTTAGTGAGGCCCTAAGCATTCAGTGAGACCCTGTCTCTAAATAAAATATAAAAAGGGCTGTGGTTAAGTGCCCCTGGGTTTAATCCCCATTTTTTAAAGAAGTAAGATACATTAGTGGATATTATATCAAACCTACACATGGATAATAGAGGACACACTTCTCAAGCACATATGTATCATATACAGAAATGGATCAAACATCATTCTCTCAAAAATTAAGTTCCAAAAAGTAGAATTATTACAAACAATACTCTCTTACCACAATGAAGTAAAACTAAAACTTATTAGCAAAATCAAAATACAGAAGGATCTTCTCATCTTGAAATTTATGTTTATTTTATTTTACTGTTCTGAGGATTGAACCCAGGTGTGTCCACCACTGAGCTATCTATCTCCCAGTTCTTTTTTACTTTTTGAGATATGGTCTCAGGAAATTCTGCCTCAGCCTCCCAAGCCACTAGGATTATAATCCTATGCCACCACATCTGGGTCCCGTCCTGAAATTTAAAAACCACCTTTAAACAACTCTTGGGTGAAAAGGGAATACAAACAATTTACTGAATTTTTTACAACAATGGTAACAACTAGAAGAAAATGAGTGGCCCTAATCAATAGATATGGAAGATAAAAAATAAATAAACCAGCCAGGCATGGTGGCATATGCCAGGAATCAGCTACTCAGGTGGCTGAGGCAGGAGGATCAGAAATTTCAGCCAATCTCAACAATTTAGCAAAACCCTTTCTCAAAATTTAAAAAAGAGGGGTGAGGTAGGAGTATACTCCATAGTAAAGCACCCTTGGGTTAAATCCCTAGTGACCAAATAAGAAACAAAAATTTATAAACCAAATTGTCAGTTCAAAAAGTCAGAAAGAAAACAACAAAGTAAACCAGAAGAAAGCACAGGAGATAAAAAATTTAAAATATTACCAAATAGGGGCTAGAATTGTAGCTTGGCCATAGAGTGCTTGCCTTGTGTGTGTGAGGCATTGCGTTCAATTCCCAGCACCACATATAAATAAGAAAATAAAGGTCCTTCAATAACCAAAAAAAAATTTTTTTTAAATACTCTTTAAAGGGGCTGAGGCTGTGGCTCAGTGGTACAGGGCTTGCCTAGCATGTGTGAAGCACTGGGTTCAATTCTCAGCACTACTTACAAATAAATGAGTAAAACAAAGGTCCATACATCTAAAAAATTTTTTAATATTTTTTTAAAATAATCTTTAAAAAATATTACTGAATAGACAAATGATAGACTCATATGGAAAAGAAAAGAAAAACAATAGGCCTAATTATGGAACGAGTCAAATTCCTAGGTGTTATTTATTTGTTTTTGCAAAACTAGCAAACCACTAGCTAATTTACTCAAGAAAAATAAGGGAGAAAACACAAATATGTAAAAGTTACCAAGGAGGGAAAAAAAACACAAGGGAATGCACTGCAGCACTCAAGAAAGACAATAGCAGACTTGAACAAATGGAAAGACATTTCTTACCCTTGGATAGATATGACTGAAGATCAAAAGGATGTCAGTTTGCCCTAAATTAGTTTATAAATGTAACATATGTCAATATGCTTTTTTAATGGAACTAGAGAAGTTGATACTAAATTCATGTGGAAAACCAAACCTGAAAGAATTGCCAGGAAAACACTGGAAAAGAATAAGCAAGAGAGATGAGCCCTACTAGACACCCAACATATTCTAAAGCCTCTCCAGTTATAATAACCTGGAGGCTAAAGCAAAGCTCAGTAGTAGAGCATTTATTTGCCTCACATGGGTGAGGCCCAGGGTTCTATCCTCAGCAGTGTCCCCCAAATGTGTTACTGGCTCAAAAAATAGACAACTGAACAATGTGTCCAAAAACATACTCAAGTACACATAAAAACCTAGAATGTGATGAAAGGGGCAAAAATGGAATTTTGAATGAATGGTGTAGGGATAGCTAGTTGGTATCTTAGCAAGATACTGTCTCAACATTAAAACATTTTTTTAAAAAAGGACTGGAAACATACTTTATATACAACCAGAGATATGAAAAAACTGTGCTGCATATGTGTAATAAGTATTGTAATGCATTTCATGTCACTTATTTTTTAAAAAATCATTTAAAATTTTAAAAAAGAAAAGGACGGGATATGTAACTCAGTGGTAAAATGCACCTGGGTTCAATCCCTAGCACCAAAATCCAGATTCAATTTCTTTTCTTTTGGTACTGGGATTGAACCCAGAGGCACTTTGCCATTGAGCTACATCCCCAGTCCTTTTTAGTTTTTATTTTGAGGCAGAGGCTCCCTACATTGCCCAGTTTGACCTTTATTGCAATCCACTTGCCTCAGTCTCCCAAATTGCTGGGATTACAGGCATGTGCCCCCATGTTTAGCTACATAAGATTTATTTTTTTAATTGCATGGCAAATGATTATAAATAATTTTTAAAAAACTGAAAAGCTGCAGAAAATATTTGTGATATATATCACAAATAAAGGCCTACTATCACAAGTTCATGAAGAAGTCTTTTTTTGTGTGTGGGGAGAGGCGAGGGTATCAGAGATTGAACTCAGGTGAACTCAACCACTGAGCCCCATCCCCAGCCCTATTTTGTATTTTATTTAGAGACAGGGTCTCACTGCGTTGCTTAGCCTTGGTTTTGCTGCTGGCTTTGAACTTGCGATCCTCCTACATCAGCTTTCCGAGCTGCTGGAATTACAGGCATGCACCACTGTGCCCACAGAAGTCTTAAAAATTGATGGGAAAATACCAAAAAATGGGCTAAAAATCAAGAAAAAACAATTCACAAAAATTATCTGAAAATGATCATTAAGCATATGAAAAGGTGTTTGACTTCTTTTTCAATTAGAAAAGGCAAATTAAAACTATGAGGAGATGTTCTCTCTCACCTCTCAGGTTTGTGAAAATGAGAAAGTATGGCATTCTGTTGGCAACGCTGTGGGGAATGGGCATTTTCATACACCGTAGATGGCAATGCAAGTTGGTACAGCCCATGTGGAAAGAAATTTGGAAATACCTAACAATACCTAAAATACCTAACATGAGTTCACCTCTTGACCTAACATCACCACTTCTAGAAATACTGGAAGACACACCTCCAAGGATCCAAAAATAGATGTGTACAAGATTATTCACCATAGCATTGTTTGTAACTGCAAACTACTGGAAATACTCTAAATGTCCATTCCTGGGAAACTGTTGAATAATCCATGGCATACCCATATAATGGAGTACTATGTAATTCTTTAACCAATATGGAATGCTTTTCCAGGATACACTCATTATATGGAAAAAGTGAAATACAAAGATTTTCTATATTGTGTTATGCTGTGTGTAATATAAGAGGAAATAAGAAAATGTGTCTGTTCATTGGTGCAAAAAGAAATACAGAAACAACAAGCCACAAACAAATGAGATTGGTTAATTACAGGAAGAGGATGGAAATGTGGTTGGAAGGCAGGGGGATGGGGAGAGAATAGAAGGAAGCAGAAGTGTCACCTCTAAAGTGTACAGTACCTGTCTCTTTTATGATCACTTGAACATTTCACGTACTTTAAAAGTAAATACAACAAAGATGGAGGAGGTAATATTGAACACAACCAGAAATGAATAAGTCTAATGGTATTTAAAATAAATAATACAGAGAAATGTGGGGAAGAATCAACCCAACTCAGTTACTTTTGGACTGAGTATTTTCACTGTGTACTCTTAGGGAAGCAATGGTTAAGAAATATTGAATTGGGGCTGGAGATGTGGCTCAAGCGGTAGCGCGCTCGCCTGGCATGCGTGCGGCCCGGGTTCGATCCTCAGCACCACATACAAGCAAAGATGTTGTGTCCGCCGAAAACTAAAAAATAAATATTAAAAAAAAATTTAAAAAAAAAAAGAAATATTGAATTCTGTTAACAGGATTTTCACAGGGTCACACTTGAGGGAGTCTCAGTGTGCTCTGGTATTGATCAAATAAATAAACACATCATGAATAATGGGAGTCAGGTATTTCACTGTCAAGAATTACAAATATGGAAAGGGAGAAGCTAAAATGCATCTTGTGGTATTACTTTGGAATTGGAGGTCACAGTATGAATTCTTGATTTCTGATTAGACAGCTATAAAAATGGATATGGATGTTGTTACAGGTGTTGTGCACATATGATTATTCAGCTCTCTCCATGTAGAAAGGTGCCTAGAAGCATGACACCCCAGTAGCAATGTGCACAATAGCCCCTGCATCTTGGTTTCTAAATACCACTCTCTATTGGAAGGGTTACTTGGAGAAATGACTGTGATTCAAGAATGCAGTCATTCTTCTGTACATCTTGTTGTGCCATAAAGTAAGGAAGTACTCAAAGAATGACAGGAAGCAGGGCTGGGGTTGTGGCTCAGTGGTAGAGCACTTGCCTAGCATGTGTGAGGCACTGGGTTCAATTCTCAGCACCACATACCAATAAATAAATTTAAAAAATTAAAAAATTAATCAACAACTAATAAAAACATTTAAAAAAAAAAAAAAAAGAATGACAGGAAGCAGGACAAAGTGATCCATTCCTATAATCCCAGCAATTTGGAAGGCTGAGGCAAGAGGATAGCAAGTTCAAGGCCACCCTCAACAACTTGTCTCAAATTTACAAAGAAGCAAAAGAGCTGGAGGTGTAGTTCCTTGGTTTCAATCTCTAATACTGCAGGAGGAGAGAGAAGAACTAAGGCACTAAGGAAAGTGCCCACCCTCTTCCTGCACTCCTCTCCCACCTCATCTCCTGATGCTTTGCTGGGTTTACTATACTCCAGCCCACAGACCTCCTTGGCACTCCTCAGACTTGCCATGCATTCTCCCAACTCAGGGCCTTTGCACCTGCTGCCCCCTCAGCCTGACATGTGCTTTCCCCTCAACATGCCTCGGTTACTCCTCTGCTTCTTCCTGTTTCTGCAAACATCATCTTCTAAGGCTTTCTCCAACCCTCTCTGCCCACTCTATTTACAAGCACGATTACCCTTGTCATCCTCACTTGCTCCCTTAATCTGCCTTATTTTTCTTCATAGCACTTACAGGGACTGATGTTCTAGATCTGTTCATCGACATTCTCTCCTAGGAAGGAAGCTGTCTCAGGAAACAGGTATCCTCTGTGTGGGTCCCTGTTGTGTACCCTTGAGCACCCCCTGGAGCAGAGCAGGCGCTCGATAAATATTTGCTGAATGATTGAATGAATGGCTTTTCCCCACTCATGACCTCTCGTTGCTGAGCTCGTGTGTACTGAACACTGAACTGGTGGCTGTCCCCATGTCAGATGCTTTATGTACACTCTTTCATTTGGCCCTCTCACAACCTTATGGCATGAACATTTTATCTCCATTTTACAGAGAAAGAAACTGAGCCTCCAAGAGGTTCGGCTCTTGGCTTATAAGTGACTGGAGCCAGAACCCCAAGTATGTGTCCATAACTTGTCTCAAGCTACCAGTGTGAGTCCCTGCTGTCCCCAGGCCTGTGAAGCACAAACTTGCCAGCGCAGAACATGTTGTCCGTAATGCGGATCCGAGTGGAGGCCTTGCAGATGGGCCGCTCCACGATGGGCAGATTGACCACCTGCAGGACACTGGGCTGCACCTCACTGACGGTGGTCGTCCATGTCTCCTTCAGATTGCCCCAGCCTGTGACCCGCCCTTTATATCCAGCCTGGAGCAAGCTTGGGGAAAGAGAAAAGGACCTGGTAAGACCAACCCTCCAGCAGCCTCTGGAACCCAACCCCACTCCTAGAGACCAGAATCTAAACCTCCAGCACAGGAAAGAACTTGCATTTCCTCCCTGAGACTGAGGCCTGGCAAGGAGGAAGGAACAGCAGCCAGGCCACACCTCATCAGCCCACCAGAAATCCAGCCAATGCCCCCGCAGGTCTGGCTGCCCCACCTGGCTGCCGTCTGCTTGTCGGGCAAGCATACGGGGTGAATGTGGTCGCTGAAGGTGATGGGCTTCTTGAGCTTCAGCAGGGCGATGTCCCGGTCCAGGTTCTCCCGCCAGTTGTACCTGGGGTGGATGTAGATCTTCTCCAGCATGGATATCTTTTCAACGTTCCGCTCGTACCTGCACACGCGCCAACAGAGACCCGGAGAGACCATGGACTCACCCAAGTGAGAGGCAGCAGTTCCCCCAAAAAGTAAACTGCCTGTCCTCAGGGTCTGGGAGGCAGGGTGATCACAGGGCCACCAGGGAGGGGACAGAGCTAGTTCCTGTCTTGATAGCCTCCTGGAAGCTTCCTCCCAGCCCTAAACCCACACAGGGCTCTGGGGTCAGGCAGGCCAGGAGCCAAGGACAGAAGCACAGGCCATGCACCCTGTTCACACAGTCACTATCTGAAGAGACTCCAACCAGGGCCATGTCCTGGTGTCTGGAATAGAGTGGGGGACAGACCAGGGTTTCACTCTTTGACCCCAGCTCCAAGCCTCCATCAGGACATGGCCAATTGGGCCTTTCCGGTGGGGACAGCTAGGATGTCATATTGTGGGAAGGAACACATTTCCCACATACCCCGGAGCTACCAGGGTCCTCACAGGCATCCTGGAGGACACAGACCACTGCCAGACACACATAGGTCACTGGCTCTGTACCTGGTGCGGGAGTGCTTGCCAATGCGCACCAGAAGGTCATTCTCAGTGAAATTCTTGTCCCAGGGTGGGTACAGAAGGCAGTGAGCAGCTGTGAGGACCCAGCGGTCACTGATGAGGCTGGCCCCACACAACAGCTCCTGGGGACTCTTCCGGAAGAGCATCACCTGCCTGGTAAGGGGAGCAGGAGGCATTAGGACCCGGGGCACTGCCCTTCACCAGCCCTAAAAGTAGAAAGAAGTCCCAACTGAAACCTAGCTGGACAGAGCTGCCTCCTGGGCTAGGCTCCCAACTTGACCTGGGGGACTGGAGGGACTAGAGTCCCCACGTGATGCTAGGGCTGCTTCCTGCTTTTTGCAACCCTTCCCAGCCTCCTTCAGGGCAGAGTCTGCACCGCTTAGCACAGCTCTGGAGCCAGGAGAACTGGAGTCGAGTGCTGCAGCGAGCCTGGGGTGGGGCATTTGGGCTCTCTGGGCCTCAGCTCCGCCATCTGCTTTGGACAATTAATAGACCCAATCTCATACGTTGCTGTGTGGATAAGAGATCACGGGTGCTAATGTCATCTGGGAAGCCCAAGCCTCTGGGCAGAGGGATCCTGCAAAGACTGAGGGGTGGGGACCAGCAGCAGCCCACCCGCTGGAGTGACTGATAGTGCATGGCTCCAGGACTCACCAAGGTGCGATGCCAACTTCAGCGTCCCAGCCCTCTACGATACGCCCATCAATGTAAGAATCCAAAAGCTCATCTTCAGTTTTGTCCTTCACTGTCTTCTTCTCGAACAGAGGCCGCAGCCCGCAGTCTGCAGAGCAAACCAGGTGGTGAGGGGCTAATTGTGGGTACCAGCCCCAGCGCGACACAGACACCCATGGATGCCTCACCTGCCTCCCCGCTGCCAAAGGTCTTCTCATCAAAGAAGGTCTGGAACTCCTCCTTGGTGGTGCGTCCTCCTATGGTCCCGTCCCCATCCTCGCTCAGTGCATCCCCTGGCCCCTCTTCCACGGCCTCCTCTGTAGGGACCCCAGCACTGGCTAGGGCTGGGGTAGGGCACTCCTCACCCATGCCCTAGATCCCCACATACCCCAGCCAACCGTGGAAGACATTGGTGCTGAGGTTAAGAGCACACACACACACCTGGGTCACTAGGCAACTGCCTCAGTGCCTCAATGTGCTGGTCTGTGAAATGGGAATAGGACCTACACCCTGGGTTTCTGTGAGGCTATGATGAAGACTCTGGTGTGGCTAAGGGGCAGCGCCTGTTCTTGTTAGTCTCCCCCAGCTTTGTCCTCTGCATCTCAAGACCCCTACCCTGCCTGCTCACCACAATAGTTGAGGTCGCAGTACTCAAAGTCACCAGCCTGCCCAGCCACGTAGCACCAGGCACCTTCCTCATCCCCATCTGGGTTGCGGCAGAAGTTTTCCACCAGCTTCACCTCTGGGCTAAAATCCTGGTCCTTGCTCAGGGCCTTGGCCTGCGGGCTGGACCAGGACAGGCAGGGAGACCCGTGCGTTGTCACTGCCAGTTTCCCTTCGTACTGCCGGCCTCGCTCAGGGACACACTGCTCCGATGAGGGTGACAGGTTCCCCCTGGAGCCTCCAGAGCGGGGAGTCATCTCCACAGTGAAGCGCTCCTCACCTGGTGGGAAGGAGACAGGTGCAGAGTGGGTGGACCATACATGGAGCCCGGCAGGCTAGGGTTAGCTGACGTCTGTCTGTCTGACCTCAGCTGGCCTCTTCAGCTTCAGTTCCCTGCTTTCCCCCAGTACTAGTGCTTTTGCAGGGTTGTTGAGAGGATTAAACAAAATGTCCAGCATAAGCATCAGACAAGCCGGAGATCTGTAACCAGCTTCATCGTACAGGGCGTGTTGTGATTTTCTAATTTTTTTATTTTGCAGCACTGGGGACTGAACCGGAGGGTGTTCCACCATGGAGTCACATCCCCAGTTCTTTTTATTTTTTACTTTGAGACAGAGTCTTGCTAAATTGCTCAGGCTGCTTTGAACAGACTGGCTTTTCCTGCCTTGGTCTCTCCACAGTCAGTAGGATTATAGGCTATGTGACACTGACACTGTACCTGGCTTGAATATCTGTAATTTATTGGTAGTGACTTCATGGAGTCCCCCCCCCTTTTTTTTTTCTAGTGGCACTAGGGATTGAACCAGGGCCACTCTGCCCTTTTTCTATTTTTTGATTTTGAGATAGGACCTCACTAATTTTCCCAGGCTGAGATGGAACTTGCAACTCTCCCTGGGATTACAGGGGTGCACCACTGCTTGGTACCAGGGATTAAACCCAGGGATGCTTAACCACTTAGCCATATCCCCAGCCCTTTTTAGTTTTTATTTTGATACTGGGTCTTGCTAAGTTGCTTAGGGCTTCGCTAAATTGCTGAAGCTGGCTTTGAACTAACTATCCTCCTGCCTCAACCTCCCAAACCACTAGGATTACAGGCCTGCACCACCACACCCAGCTTGGGTTCTGTATTCTTATAGGGCATGGCAGGAAAGATTGGTGGAGTCTACTAGGAATGCCTGTGTGGTTTCGGCGTGCCTGCAACCCATTTCTCATCAGTGTGTATGGGGGAAGGTGGATAAGAGTAGTTGTTTTTGGTTAAGGTGATTGGTATCTTGCTTTAAGACCAGACCCAGAAGGAAGCTATGAGTCCAAGAGGGATTCAGAAAGAACAAAACCCAGAAACCCACGTTCCCTGGATTGAATCGCTGTTCTGAATTCTTTATCCCTGCCTGCGGCCACATCATTTCCCTGTGATTTTAGAGGTAGCCAGTATTTTACGCCTTGAGTTGCCCTTGATCATGTGACTTGCTTCAGCCAGTAGAACTTGGGTGGGACTGACTGCCCATTCTGGCCTAGGCCTTAAGACATTAAAAACATTCTGCCGTCACTGGGGGGAAGAGCTGCCCCAGGGAATTGCTGGCACGCAGCCTCAGCCCCAGCATGAGCATGAGGGAGCAGCTCTGGGGCCAGAGCAGCTGGGAGCCAGGCTCAGCTGGACCCATCATTTGGAGCAGAGCCAAGCCCAGCCTACATCCATTGACATCAGACACACTAGCGAGTGCAGCTGAGACCAGCAGAGCCACCCCAGCCCAGCCTGGTCACGTAAGAAGGACATGCTGGTTGTGCGTGCCCCTGAGCTACTGCAGCTGCTGTTTTGCAGCGTTACTGTGGCTATAGCTAAGCCACACACCATGGGAAGAGAGAACAACAGACTCTTGCAGGCCTGAGCTGTCTAAGGCTTGCTCTGTGTTGCTCAGCAAAGGGTTTGGGGACTGAAATGGTCAGGGAGGGCTTCCTGGAAGAGAATGCCTTGCGGGAGAGAAAGCAGGTTCCGAATGTGCCAGAGCCTGGATGAGAAGGCAGCCAACACCTGAGAGAGAAGTCGGCTCGCCCAGGTCTCCCCACCTCCTGACTGACAGGCACATTCAGTTTTGAATGACTAACTTCAGTGGTAAAGGTAGCCAGGGTCTTTTTGCCCATTCCGGGCTGTCAGACCCCTGGACGATCCCTGGGCCTTGGTCACCGACCGCCTGATTGCCCCAGCTTACCACAAACGGGGACGCTGCACTCTTCCCTCCGCACCGTGGGGTCTGTGGTGTAGCACCAGGGCCCTGTGGTGCTGCCGTCCGGGTTGCGGCAGAAATTCTCCTGCAGTTCAGCCCCAGGATGGGTGGTGGAGTTGATGCTGGAATAGGAGATTGCTCAGCAGGAGCCATGCCTGCCCCTCGTCCTCACTCCCCGTTCTCAGCCCACCACTCACTCAGGTTTATGTGGGTAGCGACTCTTCCACAGCTGACACTCAATGCCTGACCGGGTGACGTTCACATGTCCTCGGTAGTTCATGCCCAGATCCTTGGCACAGTTACCTGCAAGGAGACCCCAGCCTGGGTCAGCTGAATCCAGAGGATTTGTCCCCTTCTCTCCTGGCAAAACTCTGTCTGTCCACCCTCCCCAAGCTCCCTCTGGCCCACTCTTCTTAGCCCACAACATCCCTGCTCAGCAACTCCTGTGCACACAACAGTTCTCTATCCCATTTAACAGCTGTCACCAGATAGTCACTGAGTGCTCACTACATGAGAACCATGTGACAGGTACCATGCCAGGTACTGAGGACCTAGCAATAAGTAAGACAGTCACAGTCAAGGTAGGTGCCTGTCTCCATGGAGCTTCTGTTCATTGGCTCCTTGTGGCCAGTAAAACGAAAAAGTGAACAAGGTCCTTCTAATTGGGCTCCGGTCTCTCCCCCTGTCATCTTAGTTGCTCATGCTTCAGGGCCTTTGCACATGATACCTCCTCTGAGGGCATGTTTCCTGGTTTCACCAGGGCATCCCTCTAGGTCAGATAAACCCTACTTCTTCTCGGAAGCAGTCCCTGATTCTGCTATCAAACCAGATGTGCTTCTCGTGTGTGTGTGTGTGTGTGTGTGTGTGTGTGTGTTGTACCAGGGATTGAACCCAGGAGCACTCAACCACTGATCCACATCCCCAGTGCTCTTTATTTTTTGAGACAGGGCCTCGGCTAAGTTGCTTAGGGCCTTGCTAAATTGCTGAGGCTGGCTTTGAACTCACGATCCTCCTACCTCAGCCCCCTGAGCTGCTGGGATAACAGGCGTGTACCACTGCTGCCAGTTTCTCATGTGTTTTCTTGGTACCTGGAGTAGAACTTTTCTAGAGATCATGTTCATGTTTTGTATTTTGTTTTTCTATAAGATCGGGAGGTCCTTGAAGACAGGGACTGTATTCAATTTTCTTAAAATTCCCAGCACCTGACACACTGCCTGGAGCCTACCAAAATGTTTATTAAGTTATTTAACAATTGAAACTATGGCTAGTGATAGGAGTTCCATGTCATGGGGCCTATTGTCACAATGAAGATGTGTTTGGAACACTTGAGGAGCAGGGAGGGTCCCTGAAGGCTCAGAGAAGGTGGAGGCCTTTGAACTAGTATTGAAATAGGGGCTTTCAGTGGGCTGTGAACGGTGACACTATAATTAAGGACCAAGAAGTAGGAACATCCTGACATGCTTCCAGAAGTGCTTGTAGTCAGAGTAGCAGGGGTTTGGGTTCACATTTGGTACAGCAGGAAGTCTAGAAAGGGAAGTTAAGGGCAGAGCCTGCAAAGTTTGCCAGGCTAAGACACCTGTGTTTTTTTCTGTGAGGGTAATGGGGAGCCACTGAAGGTTGTAGAGAGTATGTGACATTATCAGAGCTGTGACTCAGGTAGACAGAAGGTCCAGTCAGGCAAACAAGAATAAGGGTCTAAAAATTAATTATCCATTCACTCCTTTGTCCCTCCAACATGAATCACCTGCTGACTCTTAGAGATCCACATGCAAATACACATCCTTGACGACAGGGACTTCAATGTCAGGGCCACACTCCCCACCTGCTCTCCTCCTCTTCCAGGTGGCCCTGGCAGATCCTGCCCCCACCCTGTCGCTCCTCACCTTCCATACACTCCATGAAGTTGGCTCTAGGTTTCCTCACTGGCTCACAAGCTGGAAAAGATCAGGAACACCTTTGGGATCGGGGCAGGGACAGGACGGGCTGGAGTGAAAGCAGGGGATGACAGGGACAGCAGCCGACTAAGAGAGGGATGGGGGGTGGTGGCATGCTCCAGGAGGTTCTAGGGGCAGGGCGTTCTCTGGCCGGAGCCCCCGCCTCCCTTCCTGCACTCACCTGTGTACTTGGCCCAGAACACATCCTGAAAAACAAGGGCTGGGATGAGACTCTGGCAGGATGGAGTTTGTCTCCCTCAGCCTGTCACACAGGGGCGGGAGGTGCGGGGCCAAGTCTCCTACTTTTGCTTCCAAAAGGAGAAGAGTGTGTGAGGAGAGAGGAGTCCCCGGCACACACCCCACCGTGGGCTGGGGGAGAGGGACACGCAGGGCCCCCGGTTGGGAAGGGCTGCCCAGGGCTCCAGGTGCACGAGACCCCAGCCCGGGCTCCTGGCCTCACCAGTTCCCGGCCAAGGGTGGCGCAGAGGGCAGAAGAGCTTCCACCAGGATCAGGCACCCCCAAGAGCCCAGCGTAGGCACATAGGAGGCCCTGGATGTCAGGGAGCCTCAGCAGGACTTGACCGTGACACATCCCCGGTGGAGGGGCCTCCCAAGAGCCACTGAGGCTACCCATCTTGCAGCTCTCAACGAGGAGGGCTGACCTGCTCCCCTGCTGCGGCACAGAGCCGGCCGGCCGCCCTCCTGGGAGCAGCCCAGGCTCACCGTGGCGCTGGTGGACTCCAGGGCCTCGAAGGCCTCCTCGTAGCTGCACCGCTCCTCCACGCACTCCCGCTCCAGGTTGCCCTTGCGCAGCTCCTCCAGGAAGCCACTGTTGGCCCGCCGGACCCGCTGGAGCAGCGACAGTGCTTGCTGAGGGGCCAGGAACACTGCAGTAGGAGGGTCGTGGGACGGTGGCCTCAAAGAGCTCGGCTGTCCTGGCCATTTTTGTGGGGGCAGGAAGCAAGCCTGGCCTGCCCCGCTGGCTTCCAAGAGGGGGTTTCTGGGATGCTGAGTCCCTGCAGGCTGCTGACACAGCTTCCCAGCTCCCCTCCTCTAACTGGTGCCCCTTGCCCACTCCCCCACCACGGCTGGGAGAAGCAGTGGCCGGCCTGCCAGCCCCGAGCACCTGCCCGCTTCCCTAAGCGGGACACTCTACCTGAGACCCACCCCAGGCCGGCCTGGGCTCTCTGCTGAGCCCGGGGACCCACACCCCAGCCCCTACCCTGCCCCAGCTTCCCGGTGCCCCCTACCATCCTGGCTGTGCACAAGGGCAACCACGGCAGCCAGGGCCAGGCAGCCAGGTAGCCCCAGGCCTCGGACGTGCGCCATAGTGCGTCAGCTCCTGGGACTCTGAGGGACTGCCCTGACCCCTCGGTTAATGTTGAACCAACATGAAGAAATGTGTGGAAAGGGAGAGGTCCGCGGGTCAGGGCCATGGGGACAAGCAGACAGATAGTCCTCTGGTCCACCCCCACCACTGGGGAGGACAGGTCTTCCTGGGGCCAGGGACAGGTTTCTGAGAGGAAGTCACAAAGGTAAGTTTATAGCCCATGCCCCTCCTCCCTCCCTGAGACATGGGTGAAAGTGTCAGTGGGGCCACCAGACCTTCCTGAGGTTCCTTCCTATCCTAACAAATAGTGACGGGCACTTCGGCCTCTGTGGGCTGAGTTTCCCTATCTGTACAATGGGAATCATACTTTTGTTGTCAGAACTAAGGGAGATTATGAATGTAAGCCCATGAAATACAGAAAGTGCTTAATAATCTGTAGGTCTACACATGCAAATCAACGAGGAGGCTATGTAATCATAGTGCGCAGGTATAAGGAATGGAGACAGGGGTGTGGCAGGATGGAAGCTGGCCCCTTGCCCTTGGATGACCTGGGGTAGGGACAGCTAACATTGGCCCCAGCCCATTTCTCCTTTTTCCTGGCTAGGGTGCTGTGGAGGAGTGTTTGTGTGGGACAGTTGCCTGTCTGGGAGGAGGAGCTGTGCCCAGGGCCTCTTGGGCCTTCCATGTATCATCTTCTCCCATCTCCTGCCTTAGGACGAGCCAGTCCAAATCCCTGGGTCTTCAGGGCAGGACCCTTCTCTTCCACCTGTCTGCCCTGTGCCAGGCTAGGGAGGCTTCTGGGCCCAGCCTGTGCCTGTCCCTCCCCCATTTCCTATTTGCAAAGTAAATATTAGTCCTGGGTCTAAGTAGAACAGAGGGACAAAGAGCAGGAACACAGAGAAGCCCAGGTGCTTGACCTGCCTTGCCTGTCTCCAGGCCTGGCTGTTCAGGGTCATATACAGCCTGGGAAGAAAGAGACCTGGGGACCAGGACTCCCACAAACCAGCTTAATTCCTCAGTAGACTTCTTCCTATATATTTTCATATATATTTGTAAATTTGTAAATTCATATGTATTTGAAATTTACATATATAAATTTATATATACATTTACATAAATTTATGTAAATTTCTAATACATATGAATTTACAAATTTCAAAATAGTGTTGCATGCCTATAGTATCAGCTACTTGGAAGGATAACTTGAGTTTACAAGCTCCAGACCAGCCTAGGCAACGTAGCAAGATATCATCTCAAACAAAACAAAATAAAAAACCAAAAAAACTGGGCAAGAGGCTGAGGCAGGAGGATCACAAGTTTGAGGCCAGTCTCAGCAACTTTGCAAGGTCCTAAACAACTTAGTGAGATCCTGTCTCAAAATAAAAACATAAAAAGAGCTGGGGATGTAACTCAGAGGTAAAGTGACCCTGGGTTCAATACCCAGTACAAAAAAATGTCTCTCTCACACACACACACAAACATATATATAAATTTCAAATTATATGTAGTTTTATTTTATGTATTTTTAAATTTTTGAGCCACTGTGTCTGGCCCAAAATTATATATACAAGCTAGGGATGTGGCTCAGTGGTAGAACACTTTCCTAACATGTGCAAAGCCCTGGGTTCAATCCCAGTACTGACAATAAAAAAATCATGTACAAACTTGTGTAACCAGTTCCCAGTTGGCTCTTTCATGTCACCACACAGCTGTCCCTCCTAAGATAACAACTGTTCTAACTGCAATCAGCAGAGATCAGTTTTGCCTGTTCTTGACCTTGATATACATGGAAACTCAGCATGTATTTGTTTATGTCTGCCTTTTCTACTTCCACCTGTCTTGAGATTCCCCCATGATGTGTGCATCACAGGCTGGTTCCCTTTGTTGCTCTGTGGTCTCTCATTGCATGAGTGTGGCACATTTGGTTTATTTCTTCACCTGCTGATAAGCATTTCAGTGAATTTCTAGTTTGGGGCTACTATGAACCACACTCCTATGAATATTCTTAAACATGTCTTTTGGTGTAAATGAACTTTAGTTTTACTGGGTATATGCCCAGGAGGTGTTTGCTGGGTCATAAGGTAGGCATATGATTTACTTAAGTCTCTAGGACAAAAGACTGTCGGGGGTGGGGGCGACACCATCAGTCTTAGCTGTGCAGATGACAACCTGGGCACTATTTGGTTGAGCCAACAGTTGTCATGGACAAGATGCCAGGACCTGTATTCTTCAGAATGAAGTTTCCATCAGCCAACTTCTCCCTCTAAATTTGCTGCCAGTGCTATTATGATATATAAATTCATCAGCCTGACACACAAACCCAGGAATAAATCTGGGAAAGCAGAAATCCTTATAACCAGATCTCATTTTTCTAGTAGTTAGAGAACTGAAGTTTTCTGCTTGGGAACATTGTCTTCAAACAGCTTGCTGAAGATATGGGCCAAGAACTTACCCATCAGCCAGGCGTGATAGCGCATGCCTATAATCCTTGCAGCTATGGAGGCTGAGGCAGGAGGATCTCAAGTTCAAAGCCAGCCTCAGCAAAACTGAGGTGCTAAGCAACTCAGTAAGATCCTGTCTCTAAATAAAACACAAAATAGGGCTGGGGATGTGGCTCAGTGGTTGAGTGCCCATGAGTTCAATCCCTGGTACAAAAAAAAAAAAAAAAACCCTCATCCTAGTGTGAGGAGGGGAGGACTTGGGATGTGGTTAGGTCATGAGGGTGGAGACCTCTGAATGGGATTAGCACCTTGATAAGAAAAGGCAAGAGAGGGATCCTCTCTGTCCTCCATCATGTGAGGACACAATGACAGGATAGCCATCTGTGAATCCTCACTAGACACTGAATCTGGGGCTCCTTGGCCTTGACTTCTAGCCTCCAGAACTGTGAGAAATCAACACTTGTTGCTTAAGCCACCAGTCTATGGTAATTCGTTAAGGCAGCCTGAGCGTGCCACATACTCACCAAACTTGTAACTCCAAATAAGAGTCTGCAAAGAGGCCAATAGGTCCTACTGAAGTATCTCAACAGCAGCCTTCCGAGGTGGATATTGTTATAGTTCCGATTTGTCAGATGATAAAATCAGAGCATGAACTTCCAAACCAGTGCTCTCTTTGAAGCTGGAATGGCTGTCAGGCTTGTGAAGTTCTGATAGCAAGAGAACAAGGAGCAGTCATCAGCTCCACCTCCCTCTTTGCCTCTCCTTGTTTTTTGTCCTCCTGTGTCTTCTCCCTTCCAGGCCTGGCCCATGCTGGTCCTGGGAAGAAGGAGGCCATCTGGGATCACCTACTTCAAGGTGATCTCTCTACTTCTCAGGAGTCCTACTCACTTCCCTTACTAATATGTAATTTTAAAATAAATTAGTGCTGTGACATCTTTTCACCCACTAAATTTATAGAAAAGGTTTAATGTCATCTATCAACAGAGAATGTACATTAAAACTTCAGTTCTCTGACCACTGGAAAAATGAGATCTGCTTATAAGGTTCCTGCTTTCCCAGATTTATTCCTGGGCTTGTGTGTCAGGCTGATGAAGTTACACATCATTATAGCACTGGCAGTAAATCTAGAGGGAGAAGTTGGCTGATGGAAACTTCATTCTGAAGAATATGGATCCTGACTTCTTGTCCACTATTTGGCTCAACCAAATAGTTCCCAAGTTGTCTCCTGCACAGCTAGGACTGATGACGTACTCTTTAGCAAGGTGAAAGATGGCATGAATCCTGTGGAAGTTGTGGGGTGCCTTGGATCCAAGAATGACAAGATCAGGAGAAGACTCTAGGCCATTCTCATAAATTTAATTTTGTGTTTCATCTTATCCCCAGCTATTATTTTGTCTCTAAGGAGACAAAATTGGATTCCATATATCCTTTATCTCTCTTGAAGTCTAGCTGGATTACAGAATTAACTTTATGGTATGAAATAAAAACCAACCCCTCCAGTACATGTTAAGTATCGCCATGCCTGCCACATAATAAGCACTCCATAGACAGCATTATTTATTTGTTTTTGTTTCTCGCAGTATTAGGGATTGCACCCAGGGCCTTGTGCATGCTAGGCAAGCACTCTACCACTGAGCTACATTCCCAGCCAATAAGCAGCATTATTACATGATATGATATAATGAAATAGCTGTAAAGGTTTGTCCTAAAATCATGAACACAAGCTAATAAAAACTCTAGCTTTAATCACAAGTTTACAGGCAATACAGAAGGTAAAGGAATAAATTAGAGACCAACATAATCCTAAATATGTTAGGGACTTCAACATATGAGGGACATTCAACAGGACAAATGACCCATTTCTCTGACAAACTCATGACATGCAAATAAAGGGGTGGGGTAAGGAAGACTATTCAGAATAACAGGAGTCTATGAGACCTAACAATCAAACGTCAAAAGCAAATAGAATTACTATGATTGGTTTAGATTTTTTAACAAAAACTATAAAAAGACATTTTTTTTTTGATAAACAAGAATGTTTAAATATCTGGTTGTGACTGTGTGCACATGTAGTCTTGGCTACTTAGGCTGAGGGGATCATTTGAGCCCTGCCTGTGCAACATGGTGACACCCCATCTCAACACCAAAATAAAAAAAAAAGAATAACATTTCAATGTAGATTATATATTTGATTATATTAAATATTTGTTAATTTGATGTGTTATATGACATGTGATTATATTCATATTTTTAAAAACTTTTAAAATTATACATAATAGTGGAGTTCATTGTGATTCTTTTTTTTTTTTTCCTCCAGAACTGGGGACTGAACTCAGGGATGCTCTAATACTAAGCTACATCCCCAGCCCTTTTAAAATTTTACTTTAAGACAGGGTTTTGCATTGTTGCCAGGGCTGGCTTTGAACTTGCGATTCTTCTGTTGTAGCCTCTTGAGTTTCTGGGATTACAGGTGCACTCTGCTGAACCTAACAATGAATGATGCTAGAAAAGAATGTGGGGGGACTGGGGTTGTGGCTCAGTGGTAGAGCGCTTGCCTAGCATGTGTGACACTAGGTTTGATCCTCAGCACCCCTTAAAAATAAATATTGTGTCCACCTACAACTAAAAAATATTTTAAAAAAGATATTGTGTCCATCCATAACTAAAAATGTTAAAAAAAAAAAAAACTTGGCAAGCCCCAAGAAACAAGGTTGAAAGACTAAAAACTAATTTTTTTTTTGTACCAGGGATTCAACAGGGGTGATTCACCACTGAGCCACATCTCTAGCCCACCCCCTTTTAAACAGATGGACACAATATCTTTATTTATTTTTTATGTGGTGCTGAGAATTGAACCCAGTACTTCACAAGTATGAGGCAAGCACTCTACCGCTGAGCTATAACCCCAGCCCAATTAGCCCTTTTTTATAATTTTTATTTACTTATTTATTTATTAGTTTTTGGTGGACACAACATCTTTATTTTATGTGGTGCTGAGGATTGAACCCAGCACCCCGCACATGCCAGGCGGGTATGCTACTGCTTGAGCCACATCCCCAGCCCCCCCCCCCCCTTTTTATATTATATTTAGAGACAGGGTCTAACTGAGTTGCTTAGGGCTTCAGCTGAGACTGGTTTGAACTCAAAATCCTCCTGCCTCAGCCTCCCCAGCAGCTGGGATTACAGGCATGCACCACCACACCCAGCCTAAAAACTGTTTTTCAGTTTCATTATCTGTGAATCACCTATTTTGTAGGACAATGGAGAGATGAAAGAATTTATGTGCTTCTCCATGGGGTGGGCAGTAGTTTACACCTGTAATCTCAGCTACTCAGGAAGCTGAGACAGGAGGAAGATTCCCAGTTCAAGGCCAGCCTCAGCAACTTAGCAAGGATAGGTCTTAAAAGATTTTCAAAAAGGGCCTCTGGGTTCAAACCCTAGTAACACATGCAAAAAGAATGTTTATGCTTCCTGTCTTGTCTTCCCACTCTTCCTCAAAGCCAAGCAATTCAATGTGGCTTTCAACTACTCTCAGCTCCCCAGTGATTTCCATGAACCTCAGTCCTCTCAACAGCAGCATTGCTGACCACCTCCCCCTTTTTGAAATGCTGTGTCCTTAGCTGCAGTGACACATTTTGCAAATGTGTCTCTTATACTGGTTGCTTATTTCAGACTCCCCTCATGAGCCTTTCTCCTCAACCTAAAGGGCTGGGCCATGTTGACCCTGGGCCTGCATCTCCTCCCCTCTCCCTGAATCTTCCACTCCCACGTCTTCTATTTGCCTCTCCCTCTCCAACCTCTCCAAGGTTTTTCTTCTCAGGTTTGTACCTGTTTCCAACTGTTTACTTGGGCCCACCCCCAGGAGACAGCACACCCAAGCTTTGAGGATCAGCTCTCCTTATCCACCTGTTCCTTGAATTCAGTCACTTGGACCTCCCAGTGAACAGATCTCCCCAAGTAACTACCCCCGCAGACATGGCCCCTCAGTCCTCACTCCACTGTGTTATCTGCTAGGATTCAAGCTGCTCCCCAATGCCCACTCGGCTCACTCCCCTGGCTTGCTGAGGTCTCTGCTCAAGTTGTCTTCTAAGACCACCCACTGTAGGACTGCACCTCAGCTTTCACCCCTCACCCCATTATTATACTTTTCCAAATACCTACTCATCCAGGTCACAAGTGAACAAGGGACCCTGGAGTGCAGAGGTTAAGAGCCTAACTCCAGTGCTGGCAGGACTAGGTGGATTTGAATCTCAAACACTAGTAGCTTTGTGATCCTGGACACAATCCTTAAGGGGTTTTGTACTTGTTTCCTCATCTATAAAACAAGGATTAATAATGCTACCTACCTGTCAGGGTTGCTTCATGGGTTAAATACTCACATAAAGCACTGGTTCACAGTAAGGCCAAAGTGTTCCTTGTTATCACTAGGAGGCCCACCCTGGTGCCCCAGGCTGGGCTAAAACAGTCAGTCCCATTAACACACCACAGCACCTAGTGGTGCCCCCACTGAACTCTTACCCTATGATTGCTGGCCCCCATTCCTGACCTGGTGGTTCTAAAGGGCATTTCCTCTGTCTTGTTTATAGCTGGACCCCCAGCACCTAGGGCAGTCCAAGCCCAGAGCAGATGAAAACACATTACTTCCTTACTCCTTCTCTGAACTGGGCTGTTAGGTACACAGAAGGGCACAGATCTGGCCCCGGCTGCCTCCCAAGGAATTTGCTGTCTTTCAGCACAGATTGATAACTTAGGGCTTAGGTGGTATGAAAAGCTGTCAAAAAAATTACCTAAAGACTGAACTACAGAGATGTGTGATGTGGGCTGCAAGCTGAGCTCTTCCAACTCTCAGAAGTCAAATTGGTTCCAAATGGAAGTGCTTATCCCCAAGAGAGTTTGATGGGTGTACTACCCTGGCAAACAGCCAGTGGTTTAGGAGCACTGCCAACTACTGGCTGTCCCACTGGATGGAGATGAGGTCACTTCAGTGAGGCTCACAGAACAAGCATCCATGGTGTTCCAGGGGGAGGAGGTAGGGGCAAGTTCTCCTGGGAGTCAAAAAGGATCTGTACCCAGGAGAGGTTTGACCTGGCAGTCCTGGGACAGTTCAATGGTTCATAAGCAGGAGGACCATCCTAGACTTCTGTTCCTACCAGGTAACTCAAAAAGAAAGAAGATGCAGATGCGTAGAGCTACAGACTTTATGGAGAGCTGTGAGAAGGCCCACGTGTCAGGTGCCTGTCTCTACCTCCACTACCTCTGCCCAGGCACTAAAGCCCATGTCCTTATGGATTAGCACCAGGTTGGGGCTAGGGTCCTGGCTCTCTGAAATGGTGACCTCAACAACATCCCTGGTTGGAGATGCTTCACTTGGGCTGCGCGTGTCCAGGAGCTCTGGCTCAGTCTGCAGGAGCACCATGGTGGGCTCAGAAGCAGCAGGAGGCACAGAGGGGGGATTGGAGGGTGGCCCAGGCTGATGACTAAGCTGGTGCCGCTTGAGGCTTTGGGGGAGGGTGTAGCCCATGCCACAGGTGGGACAGCGGTAGGGTTTGTCTGCCAGGTGGGATTTGAGGTGGCGCCGCAGCTTGGTGGCCAGTGTGTAAGCACGGCCACATTGGGGACATGGGAAGGGCCTCTCCCCTGAGTGCAGGCGCTCATGGGCACGAAGGGTATGCGGGTCTCGGAGGGCCTTTCCGCACACGGGGCAGAGGTGTGCCTCCCCAGTGTGGGAGATGAGGTGGCGCCGCAGTTCAGGCAGCTGGGGGAAGGCATCCGCACAGTGAGGGCAGCGATAGGGGCGCTCCCCGGTGTGCAGCCGCAAGTGCCCATGCAGGTTGCCCCGCTGTCGGAACGCCCGGCCACAGTGTGGGCACAGGAAGGGCTTTTCCCCTGTGTGGAGCCTCATGTGGTTCCGCAGAGAACCCTGATTGGCCAGGAGCCGCCCACAAACAGGGCACGGGCATGGGGCAGGGGCAGCTGGCACCTGGTGGGTCTTGCGATGCAGTCGCAGGGAGGGCCGGCGGGCGAAGGCTTTGCCACACTGGTCACATGCAAAGGGCCGTGCACCAGAATGTACCACCTGGTGTTCTCTGAGGTCTCGCCGGGTGCCATAGGCCTTGTCACACTGTGGACAGGGGAAGGGTCGCACCCCACGGTGGCCCAGCACGTGGGCTTTGAAGCTTTCCTCTGAACTGTAGCTCTTGCCACACTCGGTACACAGGAAGGGCTTGTGGCCTGTGTGCACGAAGGCGTGCTTCTTTAGATGGCACAGTTGCAGGAATGCCTTTCCACACTCCCCACACCGGTACCGTCGCCCCTGCTTTGGGGCATTTCCAGCAGGGCTCCATAAGAGTACAGGGAAATGCTGGGCCCCGGGCTCTGAGGTCTTTGCTCTGGGGGGGCACTGATCATTGGGGCCACATAACTTCTTGGCCAGGCAGGCATGCAGCTGGGTGCCCCTGGCAGAAGGTAATGAACTGGCTTCACAGTCCTCTGAGTCTACCTGGGCAGTGGAGCCTCTCTGAGATTCAGGTTCACTGCTCTCTGTGCCCTGCTGGGTGGCCAAGCTGCTCTGAGTTTCAGGTGGCATCTGTGCCTGGAGCAGGCACTCCTCATCCACACTATCCACACTGCCATCCTGAAGCAACGGGCCAAGAGGCTGGGTATTCTTGGAAGGCTGATCCTGGGCTTCGGACTTAGGCTCAGAGTTCACCACATTCTCTGTCTGGATGCTGTGCTGTGACTGGTGACCAAGATCTATAAAACAAGAGATGGAGTGCTGGAGTTAATTGAACTTGGTAGAAGGTGATATTGACAGGTAATTACAGGATATGTATTTTCTCCCAGCCCTCGAACCTCAGTGGGTTCAATCACACCAATCTCTTCCCTGAAACATGAGCTCTATGTACACTCTTTTCCTATCCAGTCTCAAGTGCCTCTGGGGAAGTACTCCTAGAAACCACAGCACCCTACCTATATAGTTAATCCCTAGAGGAAGCCATCAGAGTATGGTCCTCCTGTTCCCCTGGGGACATACACTTAGACTGTGATCCAAGCCCCCAACCTCCCCACCCGAGTTCTTCTGTAAAACAAAAGGAATCCCTGCCTGCACCCCAGAGAGAAGAAACTTATGAAACTGTAAACTTTGTATACAGCTTACTGTTTTCATCAATATGTCCTTATTATTCCAGGAAATTCTTAAGAAAGATAAAAGTTATAAATATCTTTACTGTTCATTACAAGGAAAGACCTGTCACACTCCAACAGAAGTATCTGAAAATTCCCAATCCTAATCAAGCTCCACCTTCTCATTCCACACTGCAAGATCCACTTTAAACCATATTTTTCCTCCCTGCTTTACCAATGAGCCACATCCCCAGCCCTTTTTATTTTGAGCTAGGGTCTTGTAAGTTACTTAGGGCCTTACTAAATTGCTGAGGCTGGCCTTGAATTTGCAATCCTCCTGCCTCAGCCTCCCAAGTCGCTGGGATCATAGGCACTAGTGGGCCTGCTTTAAACCATATTTTAAGACTACCACAACTCTAGTATTCTCCTTACTACACTGAGCTATAAATTCTGTTTTGTCTTATCACAGGTTGTTTTGATGAGAATGTGGAAGCAGGCATTTACGTGACCCATACCTGTGCAAGGGTCTGCTGCATCCTCTCCAGGGGAGGCCACTTGTTGTTGTAAATCAGACTCTTCTTCTGCCACCACCTCCACAGCTGCCTCCTCCTCTAGCCTGGGCTGTGTGGGGCTTTGGCCATCTGAGGGAGGCCAGGGCCACAGTAGCAGTTCAAAGCCTGGCAGCACAACCCGGTACACCTGCAGGTGAAGCCTCTCGTTGATCTGAACTGGGGCCACGTTTCCCTCACTCTCCAGCCTGCCCCGCTGCACCAAACTGCAAAGCAGATCAAGAGCTAGCTCAGCAGATTCTTTTCAAGTGAACTTCCTTGACAGCCCCAGCTCTCAGGAAGGGTGAATCCCAGAGGACATGCCCTTGGAAAACACACAGGAAAACATCCTTGGGTAGGGGATTATAGTCAGCTTCAGATTCCATCCCAAGCCTTTAAAAAAAGCCTCAAAGGAGCACATTCAGAATGTATGCTTCTGGGGCTGGGGAGGTGGCTCAAGCGGTAGCGCGCTCGCCTGGCATGCGTGTGGCCCTGGTTCGATCCTCAGCACCACAAACAAAGACGTTGTGTCCGCCGAAAACTAAAAACATAAAAATTCTCTCTCAAAAAAAAAAAAAAAAAAAAAAAAGAATGTATGCTTCTGTACTTACCTGGTCCAGCCTGAACTCTGCTCACAGGCACACACTGCCCCCCATGGGTCTAGTGACAGGTCCTAAAATAAACCAATAAAAGTCATTCTCACATGTATTTAAGGAAGCCAGTTTGGGAAGAGGAGGACCCAAACTGGATGAAACCTCTCCTGGGACAAATCTAAGATGAAGTTTCTGTAAGGTTAGCAGATTCTGGTGCTGCCTCTGCATCTAAGGGCTGATTCAGTTAATAAAGACCAAAGAGTATTTCCCTCCCAAGGGTATGAAAAATTAGTAAAGTGAACACATTAATAGAGGAACATAATTTTTTAATAGTACTTATGGACTTAAACAATTTACTGCACTGCATTATTTCATCTAGTCTTCCAAATGATCCTGAAGAAAGCCACTGCTTTATTTTACAGATGAGTTAAAGGATGTATATAATTTGGCTAGCTAGGTGACAAGGTTGGGATAAATTCTAATAACCTTAGCTCTTGACCTTGGTTCCCTGGTGACACTAACACTAATTTAGCTTTTAACAACTTTACACACACCTTGATTCCTTAACTACTATGGAGGGAGAGCCTTGCTGAGAAGGCACAAAACCATCTCCAACCGCTTAAAATACTCGCTTCTAACAAACCGGAGGGTCGTCGGGAAATGTCTAAATCTTCCCCCAATTTTCAGAGTCGCCTCATCCCTCATTACCTTCTGCTGTCGTTTCACTTCCTCGCCCTTCTCGGAGACAGCCTTTTCTTCCAGAGGGTCCCAGTGCAGTCCTGGCTGTAGGGGTTCCCCGACACACCAGACCCCCAAACGCTGTTCCTGAGCGAGTGAGGGACCCACGGCCAAGCCCCGGGGAAGGCTCTTTAGAGCGAGAATGGCCCGGCTCCCCCAAGGCGGGCGGTCTTTGAGGCACTGAGCACAATCTTCCAATGGGCTCCATCCCGACTCCGGGTCCAGGCGCGGTTCCGGGGCTGCAGAGAGTCGGGAAAGCAATGAGGAAGCGGCCCATGCAGGCGTTGGGAACCATGCGGGAGGAAACTGCATGCTCAGCGAGGCCTCAGGAGTCGGGAGGGAGAAACAAGGGCTCTAAGGTGGCCCCTGAGAGGTTTGAAGGGGTTCGAAGACTCTTAAGAAGCTCCGAGAGCCCCTGAGGAAGCCGGAGGAAGATCTCAGGCTCCAGAGGACTGGACTGGCGAGGAAAGAGACGAGTATAGAATGCTGGAGCCATTTAGGCCAGGGCTGAAGGCCGCAGGCATGGCAAGTTACTCACCCGGCAGCAGAGTCTCCCCATTCAAGTAAGGCGCTTCCTCCTCCTCCATCCCAGATGAAAATACCTCCCTCCGCCGGAAGTGAGCGTCCTCATTTCAACTCCTCCCGGAAACAGTCAGGGACTTCCAAATTTCCTCTTAGGAAAGAATCCAGAGTCAGACCTCTTTGGTGCACAGGACCGGGAATTTGGGAGTAGTTGGAAGGAAAAACTCTGTCCGAGAACAATACGAACCTAGGTTTCTGGAGGCCCACCAGGGATTCGAGTATCTGGATAAGCGGAACTAATGCGTTCTATCACCCTCCTTGCGGAAACGGGGAGCCACGAGTCGGACAGTTACGTTGTCCCTCCCCGAGGCAGGGATTTCGGCGGGCAGTGCGGGGAAGTGGACGGGGCTCCAGGGAAGGCCATGTTTAGACCGGGCAGCGAACCGGAAGCTGGTTGGAGGTGTGGCGGAAGTGGTTGGGGAGTGAGGCTACCCGAAGGGGGCGGTTCCCGTTCCACGGCGGAGCCGGATGTTTGCCGAGCGTTGACAGGCGTGGCCGAGGGAGTAGTGCCCGAGCGCGGTAAGCTCCAGGGCTTGGGGTCCCTCCGGGTGGGGTACGGGAAGGGAAAGACCTGGTCATCTGAAGGAATGGGATCCAGGTAGGGGAGACGCTAGCAAATCTAAGGAAGGGGAGCGGGGGTGGAATTGCGCCTGGGGCCCTGGGCTTTCTGCTGCGGGGATTGCCCTCACTTTGGCGCCTGCCGGGAGAAAATAGTCTCTTTCGCTGACTTCTTGCCCTACCCAGGGCAGAGGCCAGGCCAGATAGCTTTGAACAAGCCCGTGGGAGGGAGAAGTCTCCCAGATACCATCTAGCGAAGCATTAAGGATGAGAAATTTGGGGAGAAGTGTTCCACCCTGCCACTTATTCGGCCAGGCTTTTAGATCACTTTCTTAATTTGTGAAATGAGATTAATTACACTCAATCCTGGTTTTAAAAAACTCAGCGCAAATGTGATTGTAGTTTAGAGTCTTGTTATTGTAATGGTGTGGGATATGTGTTTTTGTAATTCTAGAGCCACAGCTAATAGGCCAATGCAGCACCAGAAAAAAAAACGATTTCAAGAGTCTATCTCTGGTCTGCATAAAGGAAAGATTAATCGAGAAGTTGTTCTTTTGAACCTTGAGAATCGCATAAATGAATTGTTGAGGGATTGCCTTTCACCAAGAGTCTATCTCAGAGAACAATTAAAAATCTTGCCTCTTGGGCTGGGATTGTGGCTCAGAGGTAGAGCGCTTGCCTAGCATGCACGAGGCCCTGGGTTCCACCCTCAGCACCACATAAATGTAAAATAAAGATATTGGGTCCACCTAAAAACTAAAAACTAAAAAAAATTTAAAAATCTTGCCTCTGTAAGTTGTATGACTTTTTTGCAATTTGCTTCTCACTTCCTCAAACTGTAAAATGGGCCCAGTAAACAGGCTTGGTAGTACATGCTGGACCAGTGCTGTTTTGAAGTTAATTGCTTGTGTCCAATTCATGTCCCTCAACTGTATTAGTTCCCTTCTCCACTTAGGAAAAGAATTCACTTATTCTGTAATTCACCTAATGATTGAGCACCTACCATGTGCCAGGCATTATTATGAATAGGTTTTTTTGTTTCTGTGGTACTGGGAATGAAAACCAGGGCCTTGTGCATGCTAGGCAGATGCTGTACCACTGAGCTGCATCCCAGCTTTTGAGTGAGTTCTTAAATAGTGATTCTCAGGGGGTTTGTGGACCCCTTGAATTTTCACGTAAGTCTACATATACCTGTTGACTATTTTTTTTAGGGAAAAAGTCCACAAATGACATCATTTTGGACAACCGTTTCCCAAAAGTTAAAACTGGTACCTAAAGTGATTCTCAAAGATTTGGGGAAAGTTATATGGTTGATCTGCTGAAAAGGAAAAATTGATCTCAAGAGTGGGAAGTATGGGGGCTGGGGATGTGGCTCAAGCGGTAGCGTGCTCACCTGGCATGCGTGCGGCCCGGGTTCGATCCTCAGCACCACATACAAACAAAGATGTTGTGTCCACCGAAAACTAAAAAATAAATATTAAAATTCTTTTAAAAAAAAAAAGAGTGGGAAGTATGGAATGGAATGGAACAGGACTTGCCATTGGTGGGTATCTTAGGCAGCCAGCATACATGATTTCCACTACTTTATCTTAGAATTTTCTTTCACTCACTGGCTTTCTTCACTCTCTTGCTGATTGTAGCTAAACTTCTGGGCTCAAAGAAGGCGACAGCTGTGTGTTATAGGGGGACTAGGGAGGTTGGTATGGCAGGGAGGTGGGACCATTGTGATTACCTTTGAAAAAGGAGATTATGTGGGGAATTGAGGGAGGTCAAGTTTAGAAAAACTTGACAGAGGAGGAGTATATGGAAAAGAAGTGGAGTTCAAGTTCAGCCCCCTGTTAGATGTGTCCTTCTCTCTCCTTCACACATAGCTCAGTCCCTAACTGCTGCTTCTAATCCTTCTGTTCACTTCGGCACAAGTTATTTCTTAGCACTGCCGAATTATTTTCCTGGGAGGAGCCTTAGCTTCGACAGATGAGGACATTGAGGCCCAGGATTTTTGCAACTCGTTGGCTTAGACAGGACCATAACCCTGAATTCCATGTACTTGACCCCATGCTTTTTCCATCACATGAAGCACCTACTGTATGCAGAAGGATTTCTCTGGGATATCTATTAGTGATGATGGACCCCCTGGTGCCTGGGCAGTGACAAGACAGAAAGGATGGAGAAAATGCTCAGGCCTAGAGGGTTTTGCTTTGGATTAGATTCTGTCCCTCTTATTCAGCTGTAGGCCACTGTTGGGAAGCAACCCACAGTCTCCTGGTTGAATGGGGGAGGAGCATGTAGAAGGATGGGGTGAATCTCTTCAAGACAGAAGATGGCCTACTTTGGAGGGCTGAGGGTTGCAGAGAAGTAAGGAGTTAGGCATTAGAGTGAGGGTTCTTAGTACTCACTGAGAGGATATGGATAAGGCCAGGGGAGAGGGAGAGAGAAAGGAAGAAGAGGACTTTCTGACCCTTTGATTCGGGAGCTTGAAACAGCTTTTTCCACTGACTCAGTGGTTGTCCTGGTAACGGGGTGGTTGTTGCTATGCTCAGGGAGCAGGCTCACCATACAGAGTCCTTGGCTGTGAAATTTGCGGGAGGTTGTCATGTCGCCTTAGAGCCCAGCTTGTGGATCTCAGATGACAGCTCTCTCCTTCTTCCTACCCACCCCCAAGTCCTATCTGCTCTCCTTATCTGCCCTGCTGATTCTCTGACCATATATGTCATTTTCTGGGCTCCAGGAATGCAGCAGCCCTGAGAGCAGTCTCTTCTAGGGTTGGAAAAATGGATTGAATTAATACCCCCTCCCTCACCCATCTGGTGAGAGCAGGAGGTGAATCCCGCACGACTGAGGACAGAGGGTGTCACCACTATATGGCCAGGTCCCAGACGAGGAAACCTGGTTCAGTGTCAGCTCTTCTCCCTGCTTCCTACTTGTCTGTCACTGACCTTACTTTAGCACTCCAGATATCACTAACCACTCCCTTTTCTATCTGTGCCATCCAATCCTTAGAGTAGTCTATCCACCTTTCCACCTTGAAAGTGGTATGCGAACCTTCCCACAGGTCTTAACATGGAGACCTGCAGATTTGTCTTTTGGGACTAGCCAGCAGATTCCATTCCTGTTGCTGGTTCCTGTCCTGGGGCAAACCTAGCTGGGCTGCTCAACCATGACCTTTTTCCTGGGACCCTGTCATCTCTGGCTACCTCCTCTTCTCAGGCCAGTGGGGAGGGGTGGAGAAGATAGGATCACAGCCATGCAAGGCCTTTGGAAATCCTTAGATTCCTTAGATTCTTATAACATCCACTGTGTAACTGCTGGGACCCACGAGGCTTTTGTACTCCAGGGACATGGACCTCTGCCCTTTGCAGCTGGGACTGCACCCCCCGGCCTGTTGGGTGGTAGGCAGCTCAGGACGTGGCACAGATCTTCCTATCTAGCTGAGGACCTGAGGGAAGGTACCAAGCTGTGCCATCCTCTGCCCCAACTGCCTTTCCTGGCAACAAGCTCCATGGAACTCTTGGCAAGATGAGAAGTGTTGAGGAATAGGGACAAGGGAGCCAGGAGAGGGAAGAGGGGCCAGGAGGGCTTGCAAAAAAATTACGAAAGGTGAAAAGAGGGGGTTACTGACCCTCCACCTTTTTAACTCTCCCAGCTCTGCCTTCAGGTTCTGCCACAAAGGACAGATTTTGCCATGGATCCGCTCTCAGAGCTGCAGGATGACCTGACCCTCGATGACACCAGCCAGGCTCTGAACCAACTGAAGTTGGCCTCCATTGATGAGAAGAACTGGCCCTCAGATGAAATGCCAGACTTTCCCAAGTCAGGTGGGCACCACCAGGTCTTAGGCAGCTGTAGGCATGTTGGAGGGGAGACCTACTTCCTGCTGAAGGGAGAGCCCAGGGGAGCAACCTGGGAGCAAGCAGACAGCCCCAGGATTGGGCCAGGAAAACAAGCCTTCCTGAGGGGAGGGCCAGCAAGGGTGTATCAGGGAAAGCACTGTATCAGCCACCTGGATTTATACCCTGATTTTGTCCTTTTCTCAGATGACTCCAAAAGCAGCTCCCCGGAACCAGTCACACACTTGAAGTGGGATGACCCTTACTATGACATTGCCCGGCACCAGATTGTGGAGGTGGCAGGTGAGCACACCCAGCTCTGCACCTTTTTCCTCATGGTCTGTGCTCCTGGTTTAAAGAAGCTCACCCCTCACACCATAGGGGAGAGGTCTGGGGGGCATGCTGGTGTCTACCTATGGTTTGACCTAAGATCTTGGAGCTCCTCAGCACATGTACCTTTCTTTAAAAAGCACAGGCTTGATTGTGATTGCCTCTTGATACTTTCACCCCTCACTGCTTCCTGATCTATGGTCTTGTTGTTTCCATTTGAGATGATACATGGGAGGCAATATGGCCTAGTAACTTTGAAGTCAGAAAGTGCTGGGTTTGATCTCCAGCTCTGCTCTCTGAGCTCTTCCTCACTGGGTCATGAAATCATGAATGTATGTCAGGGCTTAGTGCTGAGCAAGAGCATAGTGGGCCCTGAGTGAGTAGCCTTGCCTTTCCCCTTATTCCATTCATTCCATTCCCCATTTTTCCCCTTCCTTCCCCTTGGCCCTGAGGTCAACTTTTCTACCCAATCAGTTATGGGAGCTGAGGGGGCGTGTCAATCCTTCTTGGGAAACCATACCTCTAAGGATGTCTGGAATGGACAGAGCTTCCTTCCAGAAGTTCAGAGTAACATAGCTCCTGGAGTATCAAGTTCCTGGCAGATGTGTACCCTGTCTTGAATGGGTGGAGAGCCCCCTTTGGGTCTCTGCCTCAGGAACCTTCCTCCTTCCTGCTCATAAGGAGGACCC